GGCCGACCCGGGAGCAGGGGCTGACGCCGGCGCCGGGGTGGGGTGCGAGAGGGAAGGGGCTCCAATGCGCCCGCGGCCGCCTAGTTTCGGAATCCCCCTGCCATCGCCTCCGCCCCGCAGCGGGGCCTGCCCAGCCCCTCCAGCCAAAACCCTCCGGGAAACCCGTCCATCAACATCTCTCGGACCGGGAGGGCTGGACGCACGCAGACCCCTCCCGCTTCGCCGGCCGCGGGACGCTGAGGGGTCGGCCCGCGCTGTCCCAGCGGGAGGCCGCTTCGGAGTTCTTCCGTCGGAAAAGCTGTCGCTGTGCGGCCCTCTGGGTATCGGGACGAAGCTGGGCGGAGGGGGGGGGGCGGGTAACTCACTGCTGGTTGTAGTGAAGGGTCTTGCAGAGGCGAGGAGGGAAAGGATAAGGGACTTTGACCCGCAGTCGTGTGTATGTGAGGACAGGCAGGCGTTAGGGCCTCTGCGCCCCGCCCGAGACAGTGCTGCTGGCCCGACCCTGCGCTGAATACAGCCCAGATTCTCAGGCGGATCGTCCCAGGCCTTGGGTGAAAGTTTGTCCCTGGTCCCTGAGCTGGCCTTATCCCTACGCCGGTATCCATCTACCCTGTTCTGAGGTTGGACTCCCACGGAAGAGAAGGCAGAGAAAGATCTGTCTACTGCCGGTAGGTTGATTTCCGGAAACCAGTCAGTGGTAGAAGATGGGACCCCCGTTCGGGATCCCTTAGCTGTGTTACCCTTCTTTCATCGCCCTGGGCACCTCCGTTTCCTCCTCTAAATTACTGGAACAGTCCCTTATGGAGTTACTGGGAGCCACTGTCTGTCGGTGCCCAGATTCTGTGACTAGCAGGAGGTGGACCAGGTAGAGAAACGTGTGTGAACAGTGATGGTCCTCCAAGTGACAGCCAAGTGACACTGGGCAGGGCCATGCTGGATCTGCAGGTACACATGGGAGCCACCCCTCTTGGGAGCAACTGCAGGAAAGGCCTGGGGAAAAGCCCTGTGTTAGCAGAGTCTGGGGCTCAGGTGTACATTTTTCCTGCTTTAGTTCAACACAGGGGTTAGGAATCTGGGTTCTAGAGTCAGAGTGCCTGGGTTCAATCTGCATCAATTCCTAGCCAGGTGGCCTCAGGCGTACAGAAACATTCTGTGCCTCAGTTTGCTCATCTGGAAAACTGGGGTGATGCTGCTTCTTAATTTCGTGCGGCTATGTGGATCATTCAGTCATTCAGCAAATGTGTGCTGAACACCTGCTGGGCACTCATAGCTCTACGCTCCCTTCTAGGTACCTGTACATCTGTGTACACAACTGGGAAGCACATTCCGGGCGTGATCTGCTCTATGTATTCTGTGCTGTAGACAAAAAGGGAAGGGAGCAGCACCAGAGAGATGAGTGCTGGGTGGGCTGGGAGTGTCCTAGTATTAAGGAGGAGGGCAGGGCGACCTCTCAGGGACAGTGATGTTTGAGGTGAAGGAGTCAGGCGCATGGCTGGGTGAACATTGTCCCTGGTGCAGGCCACCTTGACAGCAAAGGCCTTGGTGGGGATGGAAAGCACAGTGGCTGGCGAGGCAGGGAGGAGGGATGTCAGCAAACCAGGGCACGAGAAGGAGTTTTCATCTCACTTTTGTTGTTGTGCTAAGTGTGTACATTTATCCACTTTATATTATCTTGCTGATTGTGTGTGTTTTATGAAATGTTCACTGCTTTGTGCCAAGGATTGTTGCTTCTTTGGGGAGGCCATGGTTCACAGAAGAAGGCTCCCAGCTCCAAGAAGTCAGTGGGGACTCAGGTAGTAAATGACTGCAGTAAGATGCCATTAGAGATGCTGTGAAAACTAAAATGAGGAGAGGAGGAAGAGCTGGGATGGTCAGGCAGGGCCTCGAGGCCGAAGTCGGGAGGCAGGCAAAGCTGCACTGGGTTGGGCAGAAGAGTAGCTGGAAAGCTGGCTGGAACAGGGTGGCCAGGTTTTACCCTCCTAAGAGGGCCTCAGTAAGGGTCAGGACCTAAGGGGATCTTCATTTTACCAAGATCCCTGCAGACTGGAGCAGGACACAGCAAGCAGGTCCCTGTTAGAAGTCGCTGTGGCCAGGCACAATGGCTCACGCCTGTAATCTCAGCACTTTGGGAGGCTGAGGTGAGAGGATTGCCTGAGCCCACACATTCGAGACCAGCCTGAGCTACTTGGCAAGACCCCCATCTCTACAATAAATCAAAAAATTAGCCAGGCATGATGACGCATGCCTGTAGTTCCAGCTACTTAGAAGGCTGAGGCGGAAGGATTGCCTGAGCTCAGTAGGTTGAGCCTGGGTGTCAGAGTGAGACTCCAACTCAAAAAAAAAGAAATAGTCACTGTGGAAGCCCAGGCAGGTACAGGAGAGTGGTGCCCCTTCAGGCCCTGCTGTGGCAGAGCAGAATCCCCCAGTGGCATGCAACTGCCAGTTTGGGAGGAACGACTGTGGCTTGGACCCGACTGGGGGACTGGATGGTCCCCCTGGAGATGGGGAATGAAAGGAAGCAAGTTTCTGGAAAAGGGCTGGGTTTTGGATGTGCTGGGTTTGAAATGCCCCATAGGTAGATGGGGAGAAAGCTGTGACTGGAATTGGAATCACCATGTGTAGCAGGAATGAGGCCCTGAGAGACTGAGTGTGGGTTGAGAAGAAGCCCCGAGAAGGACACTGGGAAGCCGATGGGGAAGAGGAGAGAGAGAGGAGAAGGGAAAGAACTGGGGAGGGGAGCCCTCTTCCTAGGGGTGGAAGGAATACTGCCAGTGTGGAGCCCTGGGGTGCAAGTGAGGCAGATGTGTCTCAGGGAAGAGGAAGGGATCAGTGGGGATCAGTGCCGCCTGCAGCTCATATTAGATGAGAACACTGACTGTGGCACTTGGTCAGGAGGCTGCTGAGCAGAGGCAGTAGAGCAAGAGGCTAGAGCTTTTTGGAGGGAGAAGGGAAAAGTGGGAGTGGAGACAGCCCTGTGGGAATTGGTGTGGCCATGGGTTCCATCTTAAGAGAAGTTACAGAAGTCTGGGGGAGGTGGGGCTGGGACCTGGGACAGGGAGGGTCAGCAG